GATTTTAAAGTTTCAGGGGATTTTTAAGGATAATTTTAATTGATCGGCCTGTTTAAATATTTCTTTTTAATTCGGCTTTTAATTATTGTATTTGTATTGTAGTTTTTATGAGGCTGTTAGCCGCCCTGAGTCCCATGAGGAGAAGGGCGGGGTATAAATTAAATTATAAATAAATAAATAAATAAATAAATAAATATGGGAACTACATCAGCTCTTTTCCAGTCCTCTGGTAGTTCCCCAGTGCTCCAGGATCTTTGAAAGATATAGTTCAGTGGTTCTGAGATCACATCTGCCAGTTCCTTGAGATCCTTGGGGTGTAATCCATCTGGCCCTGGTGATTTGAACTCGTCTAGGCTGGGCAGGTGCTCACTCTTTCCCCTTTTTTTCTATAAAGTTTTATCTTATTTATACCAGTGAGGCTGGTCTATCTACCAAAAGCAGAGGATTGATTTCTATAGTCCCACTGCCAGTAAAATGCAGATTGTGGAAGTCCTCTCTCTCCCCCTTGTGGGGATTGGGATAGATGGTGGTAGCAGTAACTAGCAAGTCATTTCACCAAGGCAGAAGTATGACTGGGGTGTGTAGATGCAGAGTGTTTCTGAGAAAAATTAGAAGCTGGAGACCTCCAGCCTTTCACACTCTAGGCTCAGCCCTGCTTTTACAACCAAATCTGCTTTGCATCTAGTCTAATTCACCATTTTATTAGCAAACGATCTCAGGACTTCTCTACAGATATACCAGTCATAATTGTGGGAATCACAGTAATAATTGACCTATTTTAAAAATAAACCATTAAAAACCCATTTTCTGGGCCTGCAGTTCTGTGTAAAACTCACACAAAAGTCTATAACAATAATTTCCTTGCAAGTATTCACAATAGCACTCAACCATAACTTTAGTGCTAAAACTAATTATACTCTCTTAATGGTAAGAGGTTTACAAAAATCTAAAGATCAATTATAATAAAATGTTAAAGATTAGAACTAGCCCATAAAATGTATGAAATATTTTAAGCCTATAACCTATACTGGCAGGTATAATCAAAGTTGCTAGAGAGCTTTATAAAAAAAACCTAAGTTTTGGGACATACATCTGCCTCAATTGTGTGCAATGTGTGACGTATTCCTAAAGCACTGAATCTCAAATTAGTATTTTTTCAATTTAATAAAAATCTAAAACATATTGCCCAAAGCCATGAGTTCGAACACTAAACCAAACGTCAGTAGGATGAAGGATGGGCAGGACTAGAAGGGGAAAATGTAATTCAGAATATATGTGGGTGCACATGCTGTCCTGTCTGAAGTATTTTAAATCAAAGTTGTCTTTTCCCAAGATTATGCAGTAGTTCCTAAAGACGGCTCTATGAGTCTTGAAGAACTGCTATTAAATGTTCTTGAGAAGCTGTTCATGCATGTCTGTATAAAACTCCAAATTTATTTTCTGTTTTAAACTTGGATTTCTATACAGGTCTGCTACCTATATTTTTGCAGATTTTTTCTCCCAACTGAAGTAATTAAGTTATTAACTCTTTTTAACATTCCGTAGTTTCACATAATCAATAAAATAGAAATAAGATAGGGGTCTTTTTTGGCCTTAATGTACAATATCAGTAACATAAGAAGCTCTCCAAATTCTAAAATTTACTTCAGAGATATTCCTTCAAACTTATTCACCTCTAGGAAGAATAAATTATGACTGATGGAAGTCCCATTTTATGGAATCTCTCTTCATAACTAAAGAGATACATCAATAATTGTGTCTTTCCAACAAGAATGCATTATTCTCTAAGTGACCAATTCCTTGAGTGCCTTAGTAAGTATTCCTTGAGTGTGTAGTAAGTATTTGATTTTTTTTAAACAGTATTACTTCTTTGTTAGACTTTGTTGTCTTTCATTCAGAAGTTCAGCAAGGAACATGTAGCATTTCCTCTTTCCAGTTTTCCCAACTACCCTGTGAAGTAGGGTTAAGCTCAGAGTGTCTGACCCAAATTCACCCAATGAGAGTCTGAGGCTGAGAACAACTTACAAACTAGGTCTTCCCACTGGAAGTCCAATGCTCCATCATTACACCGCCCTGGCTTTTTTATTGTTTGCAGAATATATTGTTTGTTATAACCCAGTTAAGAACTTCTTTAAATAAAGAAGCAAGTAACAGAAGTTGAAAACAAATATAGTTATCTGTTTAAAAATGAATTAAAAACGAACAATTTACCTTGGACAACAACCTGACTCCCAGGTACAAAGAACTGTTGGGTGCCATCAGGTGTTTGAGCTGCATATTGCACAATTGTGGCACCAGGTTGAGGAGCTCCTGAATTTGTCATGGTTAATGTTTGTAATCCTTGAACACCATCAGATGCTGGATTAGAGATCTGGATTGTTCCACCTTGGGCTATAGCAACTTAAGCAAAAATAAATACTACATAAGATATCAGCAACAGAGATGAAAACCCTTTTAAGTTAATTACTCCCAAAGAGTGTTTAATGCTTAGGATGATATGAATTACTAATATCCAGCGTGAAACTGGATACAAACACATAAACCAGTCTCCAAAACTGACTCAGAATGCCTATTATTTGGGGCAACACAAATAATTTTTCACAACTTTTTGCAATTAGATTTCATTTTAAATAAATTGAGCACTGAATTCAATAGAAATTTTGAAAATCACTGACAGGAAGGAGGAAGGGGGACTATTTAGACTCACCTTCCACATTGTTCAACATCATCAAGATCCTCCTGATATTTACAGCAAATATTCTAGGGAGAGGTTTCCCTTCCTTACATCATACATTTTTTTTTGTTTTAACTCACTGTTTATTAATATATGCTCCGTTTAAAACTACTAATTTTTTTTTTTGCAAAGTTGTACAGGAAGACCTCAACTTGTGAACATTCACTTATGACCATTCAAGGTTATGATAGCATTGGAAAAAAAAGTGACTTGCAACTGGTCTCTGCAATAAAAAATTGAATGCTTTGCAACCAGCATATATTTGCAACAGTTACAGTGCCCCGAGGTCATTTAATTGTTATTTGCAACCTTTCCAACCAGCTTCCAACAAGCAAAGTCAACTGGAGATGGAAGCTGTAACAAGATTCACTTAATGACCATGTGATTCACTTAACTGCAATGATTTGTTTAAAAATTGGAGGAAAAAAAAGTAAAATCAGGTGTTATTCACTTAATAACTGTCTCCCTTAAGGATCAAAGTTCCAATCCCGGTTGTGGTCATAAATTGAGGAATACCTTGTATCATGAAATTATGATAGGAAACACTGAGTTTCTGATGATAAAGGGACACTCTATAGACATTCACAGAAAGAACTGACAGCCAAAATTACATGATGTAAAAACTAGGTTAGTTTTTCCAAATTCCATTCAATTGCATAATTATTATATCCTAGAATAGGTTATTATAGTTCAGCAGTAGGCAAACTTGCCATGGGTGGTAACCTTAAAATGTGTGGATGTCTACTCCCAGAATACCCCAGCCAGTATGAATTCTGCAAGTCCATACCTCTTAAAGTTTCCATGTTTGAAAAGCACAGGCCAAGCCTGTTTGGGATTACATCTTAACCACAAATAAAAGGCTGTCAAAAATGTGTCTTTATTGGAGATATTTACACAAATATGTCTTATGTTCCATAGCCTCTGATCAAAAGTTCTAAAACTAAATGCATGAAGAAACATCAGTAAAAGATGAAAAAACCCACATAGGAATATCAAGGACATTTCTATTTAAGTTATAACCTATCTACGAGTTTATTAAAATAAATCGTAACAAGGAAAGCTGCATCCTGGTTCCAGGCCTTACAAGACGTTTTCTTTGAATCTTTTTTTCCTGCTATCATTTGTCGTTTAATTTTATTACTTTTAAAAATTGTAATTTTTCTTTTAAGAACAACAGATTATTAAACAGGCAGCCTAATATTGCAGAAGACCTACTGTACTGCCCGGTGCTAGTCTGATAAAGGCTGGTTGGCACGGCCATGGCAGGAATTCCAGAGGCTGCTCCTTCTTCCTCTGGTTTTCCTTCTTCAATCTTAGCAACGCCAGGTGCATCAGAAGAAAGCTCATTCAGAATTTTTCTGCCAGGAATAAATAAATGTTTAAAGAAATATTTTTAAAGATGTTGACCTATGCCATGATGAGTGAAATAGCATAAATAAACATAAAAACTTTTATATTAAGGCAGGGCTTACCGATACGAAGGCCTCCTTGAAAGTATCTCCCTCCGCTTCTGAGAATCAATTACCACCTCTGTTTCGGTAGATTCATCTGTATTTGTAGCTGGTGCTACCTAATTTTTTAAAAAATAATCGTTTTAGGTATTAAATCTTACGGCCCTTTACATGCAAACAAAAATTTAGTAAGCTGCAATTCTAGAAAGTTTGTTGCCATACGGCAATTTCCACTGTATGGAATCCTGATTTCTATTGTAAGATCTAATGTTAATACTCTATTTCATGGAATTTTATTTACTTATTCCATTTCTATCCCACTGCAATATAAGCAACTTTTGATTACTATGACACTATTTTGTAAATTTAACAGAGTCTTAAAAAGTACAAACAAATGCAGCAGTTTTGAAGAATTTATTCAAAAATTGAATGTATGCTTGACTTGTTTCAAATCTCATTCACAGTTCTGTCCATGCTACTACTTCTACATTCTTGCTATGATAGCAAGGAGCCATTCCACCTATTATATGAACTATTATTAATTTTTCTATATACACAAACACACAAACACAGAGACACCCTGAAGGAAAGAAATGGCAGTGACAACCAAATAGAATGGGGGGGGGGGGGGGGAAGAAAAGGAAACCATAGAAAAGATTGAACAGAATGGAGCAGGAAAGCAAAGAAAGAGAGAGGGAGATAAAACATAGTCAACAAAGTCAGGAAGTTTTAGAAGTTAAATTTGGAAGTAGATGAGTAAACAGGCCTGATTAATGCATCATGTGCATGCATACACAAACATGAACCAATTTGGTTTTGACTCAGGATCGAAAACAAACCAATCCCATGAAAGAAACCATTGTTATCAATTGTACCAACAATGCTACAATTCACAACAACAAAGCCAATGAATACTTGGAATACTGCATCCAGTTTTGGTCACCGCGATGTAAAAAAGATGTTGAGACTTTGGAAAGAGTACAGAGAAGAGCAACAAAGATGATCAGGGGACTGGAGGCTAAAACATATAAGGAACGGCTGCTGGAATTGGGTATGTCTAGTTTAACGAAGAGAAGGATGAGGGGGGACATGATAGCAGTGTTCCAATATCTCAGGGGTTGCCATAAAGAAGAGGGAGTCAAGCTATTCTCCAAAGCGCCTGAAGGCAGGACAAGAAGCAACGGGTGGAAACTAACA